ATCCAAAAGCCTACTATAAGTTTGTAAGACTATATAGGTATCTGAAGGAGTGGGCCCCAATAAAAAGGAAAAGTGAATGTATCTTAATAATTTATAGTCTTAGGTATGAATCTCTTGTGGATTTTTGTCAGGTTAAATAAAATTTGCCCTACATTTAATATTTTATTTTCCTGAGTGCTTGAAAGAAAGCTGACAGTCCTTTTCCTTTGTTACAGAGACTTAGACATGAGCCAAGTCTGACATTAGGCAGGAGAAGCCCTAGGTAGGAGCACAAAAACATAGAGTGTAACATTTACATGAGATATCCCTAAGGTTTTACATGACTGGTGTGAACTCACCATCTTATTTCTGAACTACAAGTTTTGGTCATTTCAGCAGAATTGTCCCCATTTTGGATTAAATTCTTGATTCTAGATTTGTTCACATTCCCATTTCTTTTCCTAATTTGAAAAACAATTTTCAAATTCTAATGACTTGACTGATATTTTTCTGATGACTGAGTAATTTTTGGTTATTTTGCTTGTGTCTCTTAGAATCCAATAGTTTTATTCAATGAGATCTTTGATGTTCTTTTGTAGATGATGGATAAGCCAGCTCTTACATTAGAATGCAGATTTTAGGTAATAGGCAAGTAAGTTATTTCATACAATGTTATAGGACACACAGCATTGTCCCCATACAACTTCCTTCTGCTCCAGCTTCCCTAGGGGATTCCCTCATGAAGCTTGCTGCCCTCACAAAATCTGATTGGCACTTAGCTTCTCAGGACCCCAGCCCTGCTTATCCCCAACTGGAAATGCATCTGTTCAGTCAGTCATCAGGATGTATCAGAATACATCAAACCACTCACATGGTCTCAGGGACCCAAGTTGGAGAAGAACAGATGGCTTAAGTGATATTTACCCAGCTTTTATATATTAGGGTGCTTTTCTCTTTCCCACTCACCCCACCTGTGTTTCTAAGGAATTATCTCTTCTTCATGCCACTCATATTACCTTCTTCTCTCTCACTCATAAGCTCTATCAGCCTTCTTTTCTCCTATTTCTCTTTCTCTAACTCTGTCTCTCTCTGTCTCTTTTTCTCCAATTCTCTCTCTCTCTCTTTCTCACTCTCTCTGTCTCCTCGTCATTTATATTCTCTATCTCATTCCTAGTTTCCCTCCCATAGTCTCTCTAAGTAGGTATCATTCCCTCTCACTAATAGTATTTTTCCCACCCTAGTTTACTATCCCAATGCTAATGCTTTCTAGTCTTTCTTTTCCTCAGTTTCCTATGTTTCTTAAAATTCAGCAAACATAAATACGTACTATGTACAAAGGACTATACAAGTCAAGAGATATAAAAAACAAAACTGAAACAATCCCTGTAATTTTACAAACTATCTTCAGGAAGTTTTTTAGAGTCTTTGGGAGAGAATGGGACACTTCTTAGCATTGGTATTGTCAACTTTTAATAACAGTAACAGTCAAGTAAAGTCTGACTGAGAGTAATTAGGAAACAGAATAGATTCAGCTCTGAGGGTATCTTCCAACCCTACTCATATGTGCTTGGCTAGGGGCAAGAGTTGTAGGAAGGATTTCAGGCCACACTCTAGCATCAACAGAAGGGGTGAGATGTTACAAAAGGGTTCTTTTTTACAAGGGTTCATTTTTTTTTCATTTGTAAGAGTGAAGATATAAATAACATAAGACATAACGGGTACTAAACAGGATCAATAGCTGGATGTGAGACAATTTTGGTTATCAGTGACTTCACTGATCAGCCAGAGCCAGTGGGCTAAAAATAATGTCATAAACAGAGATAATGGTCACTAGTCAGGGATGTAAGGACTGAGAAGCTATTGTGCCAACAGTAGCAATTGAATTGGGTTTAACAATACATTTAAAGATGCACTAAGAACCCTGTCTACCTACTGAACAGTATAAAGGTGCTAGGAAAACTGGAAAGCAGTCCGGCAGCAATTAGGATTAGACCAACACCTCATACCATGTACTAAAATAAGTTCCAAATGGCTATATGACTTATATATAAAAGATTGTATTCTAACCAAAATGAAGAAGCAAGGAAGAAATTATCTTTCAGATCTACAAACAGAGGACAAATTTTTGACCAAACAAGGGATAAAGAAGATCAAGGAACATAAAATGAACAATTTTTATTACATAATTTTTTAAGTTCAGCAAATATAAATCAATGCAGCTAATGTTAGAAAAAGAAACAGTTAACTGGGGATTTTTTTTTTTTGCAGCAGGTTCTTCTGATAAAGGTTTTATATACAAAATATAAAAGGAACTGATTTAAGTTTAAGAGCCTTGCCCCAAAAGTAAATGATCAAAGAATGAGAACAGGAAGTTTTCAAAGGAAGCAATGCCAGCTATCAACAACCATATGAAAAATGTTTTAAATCACTAATACAGAAATGCAAATTACAGCAACTTTGAGATACTACTCATATATGTATTATACTGGCAAAGACAGCCAAAAGAAAAAAATATAAATATTGGAGGGGTTATGGGAAGATAGGCACATGATACAGTGTTGCTGGAGCTGTGAATTGGTCTAGCCATTTTGGAAAACTATTTAGAACTATGCTTAAAAACTTGCTAAATTATGCATACCTTTTCAATCTTTGTGTATTCCCTCTGATAACTAGGCCTATATGTGAAAGAGATCAAAAGAAAGAAGTAAATGACCTATACACCCAACAATATTCATAACAGCTTATTTCATAGTTTCCCCAAACTGAAAATTAAAGGGATGCTCATCTATTGAAGAATGGCTAAGCAAATTTATGATGTACCAATATAATAGAATAATGTTGTGCCACATTTTTTTTTTACTTCTTATCCAGGTTGTATATCAATTACTTTGCTAACAAAGCCTTATTTATGCATGACAGGAGAATGTGAAGGCCCACATAGTTTGGTTTTTTTTAAATGCCATCTGAGAGCTGCATTAAAGTAAGATAAATGCTGGCACAGTCACTCATTCATTCATTCATTGAACACATATTTTTGAGCACCAAAAGTATGCATAACATACAAAAATAAATGCAAAAAATAAAAATAAAACCCCCTGAATCCTCTTATCCCTGTACTTTTCAGATTTTAACCTTTGTATAATTCCTTATCAATCTGTCCCATGCTCTTTTCCTGCTAAAACATAATTAATTGAAAAATCTATAAGAATTTCATTATAGAGTAGGTCCTTTCCAGCAAGAAGGACAGATATATCCCTATAACCTGCCTCAGAGGTTTAGTTTACCTATTTAGAGGTGGTTCTGACTCATTGGTCCAATTAGTTCCTGGAACTCTCCTTTAAGACTGTCAACCTCAGGCAAATGCAGAATGGGTCTCCTGTTAACAAATCCTTTTTTCAGGCATTCTCCTGAAATGCCTCCTACCCCCTAAACACACTTCACAGAGGCCATCAAAGAGGCATCACTATAATCATTCTTGGTCACTACCAATTTGGACCAGATTTGATTCAGTGACTTGGAGGTGAAAGGCTCCATATCCAATTACCAGGCCTCCATGCTTCCCCAATTAATCAAAGGTTGACATAATAGATCCATTACAATGCTTAAGGAAAAGACCTGATCAAATCAAACTACTTTACAGCTGCAAAGAGAAATATTAATAAATACTCTTCATTCAAACTTCATGACTAAATAGTCCATGGCACTTTGAAAATGAACTGTGCAGCTAAATGTTGGTCTATTTCACATTACAGAAAAATTGAATTTAACAATAATGATGATGACAATCGTGATTATACTTTGGATTTGTATAGCACCTTTCTAAATAACTCAAAGCACTTTCTACACTCCCACTTATCCTGGAAATATCCCATACCAGGCACTTGTATAATTTATAAGATGAGTTTCTATGATCAAAATCTAGTTAGGCAAGGGGAGCTCTCAAAAAACCATAGCAATCAAGATTACACAGGCAACATAATTATTGGACAAGGTTTTCTTAACTTATCTTTGCATTGGGAAGTCTAAAATATACTGATACATGCATGGCAATGTATTAAGGCATAAATGATAATGTACCAATCATTGGTATTCATGATTTGAAAACAATCAGAAGCTGCTGCAGAAAATTAAATCAAACTAAGCTCATCAAAATTTTTGCTCTTCTATATGTAAATAGTTCAAAGTTTATAATTATTTCCAAAATTCAAAGAAAAAGTCAAAACAAAGATAATTTATCTTACTGTCACACCAAAGCATATGACTACTATCCATGGCTTTTTCTGCTTAAAAAAAAGTGAAAAGAATGTCAAAAGACCTGAGTTCAAATTTTACACTTCCTATTTCCTACTCCCTTGATGATAGGCAATTCATTTAATTCCTCTGGGATCTTACTTAGTCCTCTTCAGAATGAGGGAGTTAAACTAGAAGGCTCTGAGGTCCTTTTCAGCTTCTAAATTCATGATCTTAAGTAAAGGAAAAGTCCAATCTTATTAACATAATAGTTAAAAGGACTATCTTTCACAAATTTAATACATTAAATTAAACAAGTGCTTGAGAATCTGACCTCTCTAACTTGATGTTTTAATTTGTCTCCTCTTTGTCATCTTTCTTTTTAAAGTAAGATTTATCTTTCTTTATTACAATGGCTTCAAAAGCCACCCTTTATTGGACGCCAAGATTCAGAGTATGCAGAGGTCTAATGCCTGTCCCTTTGAGTTTAACCTTTCAGGCACTAATACCTCAAGAATTTTATTGTCCTTAATGATTGCAGTGGTCAGAATCTTGACTGACATTGATGCATGAATAACATGTTCAAAGAAGGCAGGGAGGTGCAATGAAAAGAATATGAATTGGGGATGAGGGGACCTCTGTCCAAATCCAAGTCACCTCACCTTTCTGGGCATCATTTCTTCATCTGTAAAATGAGAATGTTAGATTCGATAGTGTCTATGGTCTTGTCTAGTTCTAAAATGGCAGTCTTATGTCTTTTAATAATACACGATGTCTCTTATTATTTGCAGGTGGCTCCCTACTGACAATTTGGGGAGTATTTTTTAATGCACTGAAAATGTGCTGTCTGAAATATAACCATATTGGCCCCAATGTGCCTAGCTGGTTAGATCGGGCTAAGGAAAACAATGGTGGCTGGTACAGTGAACTTCAGGTGGAACACACAAAATCGCTCTTCAGGCTTTTTCCTCTCTTTGTTTTTCAGCTTTTATATCGAGTCTGCATTATGCAG